CTGCATTCCTTGTTTACACTTACTTTTGGAGTATTATCTCAAATCATTTTACACCCAACAAATTTCCAGTCAGAATAAGGATATTTAATTTAATCTATTTCTAAAAAGAGATGTTATATAAAAGTTGCCTGTTGAAACTGATTATGAATGTCGACTATTTATATTAATTAATATATTGCTACATATTAGCATTTCAGTAGCACGTCTTAGAAAGATTTCAGTGTTTTTAGCTCATATTTTTAATAAAATCCTTAGCATTCTCTGTTTAATATCTATTATGTAATCTTTATCTGTTACTACTATTGTAGGTCCTGATTTCTTGTGTAACCTTACCATTATGATGCATCCAAATATGCATTCACATGGGAGTCATCATCATGGGGGACACCCTATTCATGGGGGTATTTCCATGGCACATCCTGTTGCTTCTGCTCATCAGCATCAGCATCAGCAACATAACTCACATAGAGATCAGAACCGGTAATTATTAATTGAAGATGCTATTAATTTTTGTTTATATAATTGATCTCTTATGATTTATGCATATAAATCTAAATTTAGTAATTAGTTATTATCTAGTGGGAGTATATATATATATATATATATATATATATATATATATATATATATGCAGTTAACTGTACATATATGTACAGTTAACCCCCATACAACACAGTAATTACGTTTGAGAAAACTAGCATGTTATGCGAATCCGTGTTATAAGGGACAAAGAACTAGTACAAAAAGAAGGGTTACGTTACGTTCCAGAAATTCAAAAAAAACATGCTACATATCATGCTTTCTTAATAAATATTGTTATATTTATTCAATTTTTTAAGAAGTACTTTTCTAAGTAGTTTTTACTTGAATTATATGATTTTTCTGTCATATCAAGATATCTTCATCCTCTGAGCAGTTTTCTATACTACCTCCAAATCCGTACATGATGTTTTGCAAAAAAAATTATATTTGCGATTACTTGCTTTTAGCAATATAATATTTATATATTTAACACATGTAAAGTAATCTTTGTTAAACTTTTATGCTCATTTTATTTAAGGAATTGCTTAAGAATTATTCAATATATTGTTCGGATAATCCTAGATTTTTGTTTTTGATAGAACGTACGCGCCTTAATAATATATATCAAATTAGTTATCTTTTGCACTAGTTTCATCACATTTATTGAGCTATTGTACTGCGATTTTACTAATTTTAGATTAAATAAAGTTTGCTTTTTATAGGTTTTACTATATTTCTTATTTTATTAACACTTTCCTCAATTCTTAAATCGTGTTAGAGCAAATCCGTATTATAGAAGTACCGTGTTGTGCGAGGTTACCTGTGTATATATAAATGATATTGATCTGCCATTCATAATAAATGTGTTTTAAAATCATTTCTTAAATTTAACTTGATGTTTTTTTTTAAATTTTGTAGTGTTAATTCAAATGGACGTATGACACACAATCAGCACATGTCATTGCATCAGCACTCGGTTCAGCAACAATTGCAACAACGTACAGTTCTTCATGCTGTGCCCCAACCCAGTGCACAACCTACAGGTATGTAATGACTATTTCTTTTTCCACTGCATATTACTCTTTCTTTGTTTTTTCTTTATCATTTCCATATCAAGTAGTATTTGTTGCTACTTGTGAGTGTTTTGAGCTCTCTAACACTTGTTTCAAATCTGAGTATGTTTTTATTCAAAGAAATTTTATTAACTTGTTTTTTTTTATCATCACATAAAATATATAATTAGAACAATACCTAAATACAAGAAAGTTGACAATTCAAATTTGACAGCTTGTATTTGGAAATAACATGTCAACATTCTATTTATGCTTCATTTACTTAAGTTTCAAGCTATCCCCAAATACAATTTATCAAGTTTAAATTATCATTTTTCTAATATCCAAGTTCCATGTTCTGAATTTTGTAGTTTTCCGGATTTTCGTTTTTTTTTTTTAAATTATTGCTATTTTAGGGAAGTTATTAGTACCCAAGTCGTAAGAAAGCATTGATCTTAAGATACAATTTATGCATTATTTTTCAGTAATTTTCTATGTAATTGTGGAGATTGTAATAAAAATGCCAACAAATACCCTGTGTTAAAACTAATATTAAGTACAGTTCCTATATTGTGTGATATTAGGTATTTGTTTTATTTTTACGTAATTAAAAAAAAAATTTTTTTTAGAGGTTATAACTAGAAAGGCTATTGTTTAATTAATGATTTTACTGTTCAAATTTGTCATAGTACTATATTACAATTTTTTTTGTAGATTATCAATTATGGTTGTGGCACTAAAATTTGCGAAATATGCTATAAATATCACATGCAAATCTGTGGAATGCATATATCAGTAAAAGGCTTATTGCATGTGTTTTTTTTTCTATCCAACTTCCAAAATGTTGAGATAAAATTCATGTACTTACAGCTTTGTTACCACTTTTTTCCTTTTGATTTTTTATCTATGTATTAGAAAATTTTAAACACTATTTATTTTTCAAATTCATATTCAAGAGATTAACTTTATATCTAAACCTAATTATTATTGTTTTATGGTCAGACTGAACAGAGATGATGTCTATAAGTGTATATATATATATATATATATATATATATATATATATATATATATATATATATATATAATGTGCGGCAAATATTGATATGCAATCTTATGATCAAAGGACCTTGAACTTCTTATGTTTACGGTTACCACAATATTTATTTACAGATTTTTATCTGTTTTGATCAAAATTATTATATATTTTTTCTGATCAATCCCCCTATTTGTTTCAAAATTACCAAAATCTATTTTTTTTTTGCATACATTATGTGGAAGAATAAATTCGGGGTTTTAAAGCACTTCTATACCATAAATATTATTGGTATAGCATAAAAATTTAATACTAAAATTACTTTGCTTTGATATTCATTTGTACTTTAACTTAAATCTTCTAAAATTGAACGACCATGGTTTACATGTTACACTTTATGAAAAAATACAAAGGTTTTTTTAAAGATAACAAATCACATACATTTTTGGTTTCCAATTTTTATTTGCTACTATAATTAGCAACTGTACACTCTTTGTTTTTTACTTATATTGTCTCTGCGCATACAAATATTACTTTGACAGTTCCATGAATCGAAATGATAAATTCATCTTTACCAAACAGAACGATTAGACTATATTTTAGTTTATTTATTTACATTGCAATATTACTCATAGAACATCATTTTCTGTGAAGTTCCCTGGTTGCTACCAATCTCCATACTGAAAGATAATCTAATTCAAACTTCCCCACCTCCACTCTTTCTGTAAAGGTGATTTTATCATTGGAAGCTTGTGAATAAATTCTAAATATCTATGTGTGCTACGAGACATAACTTGATCATTTTAAGTTGATTTTATTTCTTTGTTTTTTTTCCTTTCTACTCAGACTACATAAGTAAAACAAAAGGAAATGGGAAAAATGGTGTATTTTTTTTTCAACAACTTTCAACTGCTAAGGTATTCGCACTCACGCTCGTCCTGTTAGTGTCGAACTGTATTGGGACAGCCCATGCTAGAAAACTAGAACAGACAGTGTTCACAGCTGAAGACTTGTATGAAATGTTTGGGCCAAACGGTTGTCTGGAAGGTACAAACATTCTAGAAACGTGTTTCCCAATGCGAACATTACGTCCCGTCTAAATGCATCATACTCATATTTTTATACTTGATATAACCCAATAACATGGTTTATATATACATGTTTTTAACCATTTATTAATAATATAATTTAAAGTAATTTAACAGCATGATTCCAATATAGAGGAAGCGGGACTGACCAAAATTGAATTGGGAAGCATTGCACTAGAAAAATCTATTTTAACTTACTGAATCATGGGTTTCTTTCTATTATTAAGGGCTCCCTAATTCTGTTGTCGTATGTGAAATGCGAAATGTGAAATGTACGAAAATGATAAAGTGAATTCTTCTGCTGTATTTAATTGGTTATTGTGGAATTATTATAGTATGCAGATACACATAGACACGCATATATATATATATATACTACTCTTTTAAAAATCTCTTAAAGCTTTCCTTGCCTACATATCCACTGGTCATAAAAATTACTTCACTTACACTTTATTATACTTTTGATAAATCTCAACACTTTTATTTCATTACACTACTTTCTATTTTTTATTTTATTTTATTGTGTATTCATGGCAAAGAGTTAATTTCTTTTATATTTTGCATATTCATTATTTAAATATATCTTCACATTTGTGCTTTCTCTAAAATTTTTCATCTACGTTTTTGGTAGTTTTAAAAACGTGAGCAAAATAGATTGAAGTCACTTGAGTTCATTGTATTGATGTACTAAAGTTTCTTCTTATTGTAGTCTTTTTTTTAGCTGATGTAGTACTATTTTATTTTTTTCATCATATTTCATAATTCATAATTGGTGTTGGTTTCCTTTTCTTTTGAAAACTTTGCTTTATTCATGGAATAATTTATAAAAATCTTGGTAGCAGTATCTTTTGCATCATATAATTAGTAATTATATTTATCTTTACATTTTTGTATTATTTTTTATTTCAAATTACTTTTTTATAATATCGTTTACTATAATTTTATGTTCTGAAGAGCAAATTTTAACTTCGATCAATCTTATGGATGCTGATGTATTGTCTATGAATAATTCAAAGATTTCTTAGCTCTCACATGGATACTATGAGTTCACATAATTTTAGGCATTTTTTTTTCACCAAAGATTATTTTGTTGATTGAAAAATTATTTTTATTTCATTGTAATCATTATGACACAAAAATTTTACGATGCTTTGATTATATATGCTACGTTTTTATGTTTATTTCTGAGCTTGTGCCGTGATATGTTTCATTGTCTAACATACGCCATATCGCGCTGTCGCGTTTTTGTGTCCCAGGCGTTCTGGTGTCCATGAGCGCCGGCCCCCTCCCGTGGTCTCCGCACAGGGCGGCGGCGTCAGCATGACGTTGAAGCAGCAGACTGTGTCCGACGCTACTGGTATCACCTCAGGAGCCACGTCCGCCACTGGCACGAACGACCCGGTCGTCGAAGTGGCGAACGTCACGTCTACTGTTCGCCCTGAAAACACTACAAACGGCAGCAGCGCGCACTCTGCGTCTACCTTGGCCAACACTAAAGAGAACCCCCATGTGTCTAGTCAACGAGCTGGCAAGATACAACAAGGTACTGACATAACACACGCTATAAAAATATCGATCGAGTGAAAATTAAATGTTTCTCTATTGGGTTAGTTAAGTTAATTAGGCTTAAGAAGGATGTAAGTGATATCTTTGAATTCAATACAGATACAACATCAGTACAGACTGACGAGCGAACAGGGACCCGCACACAAGAAGCGATTCACTGTTATGCTGAAGTTAGGCGATGAAGAGTACGTTTCCGAAGGAGCGTCGATTAAGAAGGCACAGCATTCTGCTGCAGCAGAAGCTCTTCAGTCTACGCAGTACAAACATCCACCACCCAAAACTACACGAGGTGAGGAGAAGACATACATATAATACATAATTCAATTATTTCATTCAATCTTATTCGCTAAATTATATTATTAGGCGGTTTAAGAGGTTCCTCCGATAAGTCTGGAACCAGTGGTAGATTAGGAGGCGGCGGCAACATAACACCGACCGTCGAATTGAACGCGCTCGCCATGAAACGCGGAGAACCAGCCGTTTATTACCTGCAACCTATGATGGACATGTCAAACGCCACAAACGCCTCTCAACCGCAACAGACGCAACAAGTGAGTAAGAAACTAGATGTAGAGTCGAGTCGTTCTCGCTTGAAAATCCGATTTGCTAATTTAGTTTTCTCGTTTCAAGTCATTTTGAATTGTGTGAGTCCCGACTTGGAAAAAGTATGTGTGTGTATGTGAGCCTATTGTTGACCTAAAAACGGCTGAACCGATTTCAAAAATTTAAATGTTATTTGATGAAACTCGAAAAAGACAGCTCGAAAGATATTTGTTGGGAATCGTGCTGATCAGTTTTTGGTAAAGATCGGCCGGGCCGTTTCTTGTAATAAAGTGTTAAAAAAAAAAATTCGACGATTTTTATGATTTTGTTTTGACGGTAGATACCATAGTCTTATAGATCATACTAAAATATTACGGCCCTACGACAACTCGTTCAATTTTAAAAATTTGTCAAAGTTTGCAAAAATTAGCATCGTTTTTTTAGCATTTCTCAAAATTAGACATTTGATTGACGTTTGCTCAAAATCGCCTGAAACGATTTCAGAAATTTAAAAACCATTGGATGTATCTCGATGAGGATTATCGTTTGTCAGTTTTGTGCGACGATCTGCCCAGTCGTTTCTTTGTATTAGGTGAAAATCTACCTAGCCGTTTTCTTGCAAATAACTGTTGTAAAAAAAAAAATTAAGCCGATTTTTATCGAACTTTTTTTGGCGATATATATCATGGCCTTATAGAACTTACTGAAATATTACGGCCTTACGACAGTAGTTAAATTTTAAAAATTCATCAAAGTTCGAGAAAACGAGTACTTTTTTTGACGTTTGTGAAAATTAAAATTAGACAATTTACTTAGTATAACGATAGAGTACTTGGTCTTAATGAACATACTAAATCATTCAAGTCCTACGAAACTGGTTCAATTATACAAATTATTGATTTTTGTAAATTTGTTTTTAGAAAATACTCCTAGGTAACGTGTTTGTTCATTTTCAATTGTGTGCAATAAATCCACTCAAAAGACTTTTAATCACTCATAAATTAATGTATTTTTTATTGATTAAGTTGATTATTTACATATATCGGAAGTTTATGTAACTTGCCTCAAGCAAAATACCGATACCAACTAGTTTATTTTTTGTTGACGTTCATATAGAAAGAATATAATATTTATCATCACTAATTATGGCAGATATTTTAATTCTCAGATCACATTGTTAACACTAGAAAGACGGACGCAGTCATTTTGACTGTTTTCCATTTTCAAACATAAAAATAACTATGTATTTGAAGTCGCAGCTTCGTGAAATTTCGTGACTTTTTATACAACATCTAAATGCGTAGATAAATCGTATTATTTGCCTTATCTCACTTTTATTTTCAATATTCTTACATGTTATGCCTGCATGGACGGAAAACAGTCATTTTGACTGCTCTAGAAATTTTACATAAACAAACGGCTTTGTTATTGTATTGCAAATCGTTATCTCTCGCGATAATTTATCTCGAATGAGCCATAATGCATCTGTTACATAGAAATAACCGAATTATGGTAAGTATTGACATTAGACCGGTCTTTTTCACATAGTAACTTTCAGTATAACGCGTTGTTTAGTTGATTTTTTAGAACTTATAAATAAAATGTCGAAGAGAAGTGAATTGTTGCAAAGCTAACACACATAAGTGAAGAGTGTTCCGACATAGAATAAAATGCAGAAAATTGGGCACAATCATCTGAAGATGAATTGGATTATATTCCACGTGAATCATCTGATTCTGAGGGTAGCGATGAAGGTGATCACTATTGATGAAAATGAAAGTGCCATCAGTGTATGCAGGAGGGTGCTAAGTGGCTCAGAAACTGATGAAAGAATTCAAGAAACGGAAACAGCTGTCGATGGTACTGTATGGACAAAAATTGCCGAAGGTGGTACTCCAGGAAGGTCATCATCTAATTGTGTCTTCAAGGGTGTGAAAGGGCCAACAAGCTATGCAAAAGAGAATATTATTACAGGTGATCTTGTCAGTGCATTTTCGTTGATAATAGATAATTATATTATCAAACACATAAAACAGTGCACAGAAGAAGAGGGCAGTCGAATTTCGGAGTACGATTGGACAACATCGTTACCGGAAATACGTGCATTTATTGGAATTTTATATGCTCGTGGGGCCTATGAGGCAAAAAATTGAAATTAACTTATTTATGGTCAGCAAAGAAGACATGGCAGATCAAAGGTAAAGAAAATACCCGTGAAATCCAGTTCCAATCCAGTAGATGACCTCTGCAAATATTTTTCAATATTTTGGATTTGGCTGCGATAAATGCCTGGATTCTTTACAAGGAAGCGACAGGAATAAAAATCCAAAGAAAACAAATCCTTAGAGAACAGTTTTTGTTTGAATTGGCAGAACAGCTTTCCGCGGACTACACGACATCACACACAAAAAAAATCAAAGGAAAATGATGACCCACAGACATCATGCAAATACAATAGAAATAAAAGAAAATTTTGCTAAATATCTTTGTAATAATAATAAAACAAATATAATACGTGTCAAAGTTGCAAACAAAAATTTTTGCGAAAAATGTATTCATAAAAACATCTTAAATTATATTTGCATGAATTGTAAAAATAATGAACTTCTT